TTGCTGCATGCAGCCAAAAGCAGAAGCAGAAAGAAGCAGCTGGGTGGCCAAGCAAGGTGCGTGGGGCGAGTGGGGCAAGTTCACCCCCTCTGCCATTTCCCCCCTCCCCTCACTACCTCATGTTGTTTGCAATGCAAGCAACCCAAGCCTTGTGTTCCCGCACAGCCTGGATTAATTGCTTTGGGGGCTGCTTTGGGGGTGACATTTCTCTGCGGACCACCAAAATTTTCTCACACCACCAGTGGTCCCCAGCCCACTGGTTTGCGACCACTGCTCTAAGGTCCCTTTCAACTCTGATATTCTATGTTCTAAGTCGAATGTTTATACTTGAATATTAATTTCCTTGTTCCACATCTCTGAGGAACAGCAAAAAAACTGGGACCCCAAATGAAACTGGAGGTCTCAACAACGATTCCCCCGTATTAGTTTTTGATCTTTTCCTTCCTACCTGAACTGAAGGTACAGATGTTCTTTCAGCTCTACCAGTACAAGGAGATGATTGGATGGATAACAGTGACTTCATTTTGTTCCCTGGGAAAAAGACAGGAAAAAATAGGGAAGGAATCAACTCCATCTTCTCTAGCTGGAAGCATCAACTTAAGTATTTCTTCCTGTCCTGTGAAGGAAACCTCCATCCATCACCCTCTTCTTTTGGTGACATTTCATGGGCTTCATCTTTGGATCCAAGGACAAAAAGAGAAGATCACAGCTCCACCATGCATTGGGATAGAAACCCCAAGCGGACCTCTCTCCTAGCCTTTTGAGCAGGGACACACAAGTATACTCTTGCCAACCACAGTATTCACTCAATTATGGTGGATGCTCCCCCTACCCCCTGGATTCAAACCCCTTCCACATGGAAGGGCAACTGACGTTATTCTGGCACCCCAGGAACATGAGCGCAAGGAAAGATGGTTTAGAGCTGTTCCAGCAGGGATATGTGTCAGATTTTACTTGAAATTATCTATCAGGGGAGGCCAAAGACAGATTACTTCCCTCCCCATCTTGGAAGATAAAAGAATTCAGAATAACTAGAATTTCTCTGGAACAGCTCCAACCTTGTAGAATGACCTTCTCTTACCTATTGAGATGTCTTGACATTGATCTTCCTCCTTGTAGAGTCCTCTGAAAGATGGCTCTGGAGAGGGATTTGTGGGATTCACCCTTTCCTCAGGACAATTAGTCCCCACCTCCATGAAGGACCTCGGAACCTGAAATTTTGACAAAAGAATGAGTTAAAAGAAGCACATGAGCTACATTTTCATTTTCAACATTGCAAAGCTCTGTGTGACCTGAATCAGCGAACAGGGATTATTAAGATGTGTTAATCACCGAAACTGTTACAGATACATTTAATAATTCCAGCACATTAACCTTCCTCCATATTTCCCAAGAGGAATGTTTCTCACCTGGTGCACTCCATCCTCCTCCGCCTGGCTTAGCAGGAAACCTTCGGCCAGGGCCACCGCCTGGCTAGTGGTCTCCGCTCGGCATTCCCGCACCCAGTGCTGCATCTCCCTGGGCAGGACGGCCAGAAACTGCTCCAAGATCACCCGGTCCAACATCTGAGCCTTGGTGTGCTTTTCGGGCTGCAACCACCCCCAGCAAAGGCGGTGAAGGCGGCTGCAAAGCTCTCGCGGCCCCTCAGCCTCCTGAAAGGGGCTGTTCCTGAAGTGCCAATGCTGGATCTCAGAACCAAGGGCTTCGTTCTCTGGGATCTTCTGCCCAGGTCCTACCCAGATCTCCTCACAGCTCCCAAGCTGACCGGCAACGGGGCCTTTTCCTATTCGCTTCCAGGCTGGCTGGTTTGCCTCCATTTCCGGTGTTTTCTCTGACAGGGATCCAGAAGGGCCCCGCGGATCTCCTGGGAAGGTCGTTTCAAGTCCTGGGATCTGGAGGAGTTTCCCAGAGAGGCGGAGAGATGATTTTTCAAGCCCTCATTTGGCTCTCAAAAGGCCTCCAGCTTTTACATCCAAAAGAAAAGAAACTTCAGGAATTATAGGCTGTTCTCATTCAGAAGCTATGATTGTTAAGATCAATTTCAGGGCCAAGTAACGGTTTGGAGAGGGGGTGTGTGCAAAATCTTTCAGACTCAGTGGAAGGTCTCTTTCTCCTTCCAATCAACACATTTTGGGGAGGGGTCTTCTCTGAAAGGTGCCCGCTCAGTTCCCCTGGCAGCAGAAAAACTCTTGGGGGGGGGGTCTTTTCAATCCCTTTCCCCCTTAAAGCTTGAAAGGTGTCCGTTTGCACAGGTGGTGGGGGAGTGCCAGGCGAGGAACCCCCCCCCCCTTGCCAGGTTCTTTGTTAGAAATGCGGGGAAACGAACCTGGTGCAAATGTCAACAGCTGGTTCCTTTAGCCTCCCTCCAGCTATTTCTTTCCCCGGGAGAGACTCGGGGTTGCGGGATCCCTTCCCGGCTGCTTCCCAGGGCTCAGCTCACAGCCGCTCCTTCCCAGCTGGGCAGACGTGGCGGAGCATGCGCAGTAACACTCAGGTATTCGACATTGAGGCCATCGCCCCCTAGGCATCGTCTCTCCGATTGTCTTCCCCCGTTGCCCGTATGGTACCACTGTCGGATCAATAAAACCATTTTAAAAGTCCTTTTCAGCTGGGAGAGTAGAGTAGAACAGGAGTAGAGTAGCTGGAAGGGACCTTGGAGGTCTTCTAGTCCAGCCCCCTGCTCAAGCACGAGACCCTATAGTACCATTTCAGGTCAGTCTCTTCTTAAAAACCACCAGCACCCATGATTTTTGGAGGCAAGCTGTTCCACTGGTTAATCGTCCTCACTGTCAGGAAATTTCTCCTTAGTTCTAGGTTGCTTCTCTTCTTCCCTCCCTTGTTTCTGGTCCTGCCTTTTGGTGCTTTGGAAAATAAGTCTTTGGGGCAGCCCTCCAAATACTGGAAGGCTGCTCCCTTGTCCTTCCGTTCTACAGACTAGCCAAAACCCATAATCCTCCAACCGTTCTTCATATGTTTTAGTTCTCAGACTCCAGGCCGTTGAACAAGATCTGCACAACCTTACAGGGCAGTTGTTTAGGAAGTTGGTTGGCGCCTTGAGTCGCATGCAAGATGGCAAAAGGCGGAATAAAGAGGGAAAGGGATGCATTGCCCTGCTTGAGGTTGCAATGCAAAATCCTCCCTTCTCCCCTCCCTGAGGCTTTTCCCGGGAAATGGGAGAGGGTTGTTCGAGGCAAGGAGAGTTACTTTGGGGGCGGGGGGGGGAGGTCTTGCATGCAAAGGGACCCTGGACTCTGCTCATTATCCCCCCCCCTCACCCCACTAGGACTGGGATGACTAACCCTGACTGAGCCCTGACTCCCCCCTCCCACACATACCCACTTTGGCTTCCTTCCCACGAGGTGGCTCTGCACACCTCTGACTCCCTTTCTTTGCCGCCTGCGGAGACGAAGGGGTTACAGCGAGCGAGCGAGCAAGCGCGGAGTCCTAGAGTGGCCAGGCGTCCTCAGAGGGAGCGAGACTGCCCCTCCCGCCGCGGCTTCCAAAAGGCTCTGTGGATGGAGGCTTTGTGCCAGCCCAATGAGGTGACAATCTGGCATCTCCTCCTTTTCCCAAGAAATTCACCAGAGGGCGCTCTCGCTGACGGCTCCTTGAGCTCCACTGCGCATGCTCCGCTCCGGTCGCTTGTCTGAGAAAAGCCGGCTGGGAGTTCAGCCCTGGGAATCCCTTGGATGGGGTGAGGGAAGGGGGGCTGTGCATGCAAATGATGCAACCCTGGTTGGGAGTGAGAAGGTTAGGCAGGGTTCACATTGTGCGTTAATCAGGTTCGCTTCCCAGCTATTCTAGGCAAAACAAAAAACAAAAAAAAATCTGGGGAAAGGGCTTTCCTGTGTTGGAAGATATGTCCCTCTGGGGTTCAGTTCCAAGTGGGAGAAAGACACTGGAAACATGGAGGCTGTTTGGAAAGATGGTTTAATGGTGGACAGGACCTCATGGTTCATGGGTAGCTGACCACATGGTGGGGAGAGTGAGATATATATTTTATACTCTCTCTTGGGCTTTGAACTTGCTTCCTGTTCCTGTGTAAGAAATATATTCTATTGGTTGTCAGACTCCCATGGGGCCATGCAAGGCTAACTTTGTAGGTTGTCTTGAGTCCCAGGCTTGGTTGAATCTTGCTGGGTGATGTAATCCAGTGGCCCCCAACCTTTTTTGTGCCACGGCCCGGTACCGGCATCACAAAATGATCCGTGGCCCGGTACCGGCATCAGCACGCATGACAAAGCAAGGCGAGCCGAGCGACCGGCCAGCCAGCCGTCCCCCGCTTCTCCCCGCCACCTTCAACTCCTCCTTTGTACCTTTGTCGATGGGCTTCGCTTTGGGATGGCTTCGGGACGGTCGCTCGGCTCGCCTTGCCTTGGGTGCTGAAAGAATCCTCGTGCCTTAGTTTCATTCGAAGCCCCCCCCCCTTCAATGAAACTAAGGCGCGAGGATTCCTTCAGGACCCAAATGCTCAGGACCCAACCGGAAAAGCTCACCCGGAAGCACTTTCTCATCGAAACAAGATGGTGGCGCCCAGCAAACCGGCGGCCCGGTAGGAAATGTTCCACGGACCGGTACCGGTCCGCGGCCCGGTGGTTGGGGACCCCTGATGTAATCTTCCCAGGTGCCATGTGGTGCATGGGTAGAGGGCTAATGCTATCACCCTGGAGTTGAAGGTCTTTCATCTTGTACATAAGCTGGCACCAAAATATCTGCTGGGTTTCTGTGTCCCTTAAGATTTCTGTTTCTCTTTTAGGGGAAATATTCTGCCTTTTTAATATTTCCTAGAATATTTCATTCTTCTAGGAGAGGGCTGGGTGCTACCTTTCTACAGATGCAAATGATCAGCTGTCTGCAAGGAATAAAAATCTTTCCATTCCCCAGCATCCTGTCGGAGCTGAAGAAGCTTCTTGGATGAGAAGTGAAATGTCTGCAAAAGAAAAAGCCAGAAAGTCCAGCTGCCTCCTGAAAAACACCTTTAGGACAACCATGACCTGGAGGACTGAGAATTTCTACAGACTTTTACTGTGTTTGATTATTTTTCCATCTCACTTGTGAAAAAGCTGGATGCCACTTGAGAGCGGAATCCTTCTGGTTTTCTGTAAGAGAAGAGACTAGAAATGGATGCAAACCAACCAGCCTGGGAGGGAGTGGGAAAAGGTCCCACTGCTGTTCAACCTGGGAGCTTCGGAGAAGTTTGGGCAGAACCCAGGAAGAAGATCCCGGAGGAGGAGGAAGATGCCCTCAGTTCTGAGATTCAGCGCTGGCGCTTCAGGAATAGCCCCTTTCAGGAGGCCGATGGGCCGCGAGAGCTTTGCAACCTCTTTCACCGCCTTTGTTGGGGATGGTTGCAGCCCGAGAAGCACACCAAGACTCAGATGTTGGACTCGGTGATCTTGGAACAATTTATGGCCGTCCTACCCAGGGAGATGCAGTGCTGGGTGCAGGAATGCCAAGCGGAGACCACTTGCCAGGCGGTGGCTCTGGCCGAAGGCTTCTTGCTGAGTCAAGCGGAGGAGGACGAACAGGGAAGGTATCAGGTGAGAGACACTCCTCTTGGGAAATATGGAGCCATCTTAAATGTGATTGAAATCTTAAATGTCTGCCTAAGAATTTTGCGTATTGATAATACAATGAGATGGTTAGAAAACCTTATTGGTGACATTGCCCCTGTGTTCTTCCAAACAACATATTTGGAGCAATTTTTCCATCGTCCTCTTCCATTCCAAATTATGAACACAAAAGGTCTAGCAATGTTGTGGGCTGAAATTTAAATTCCAGTTCTTGTCTTTTAACTCTGTTTCTTTGCCTATACTCCAGGTTCTGAAGTCCTTGCTGGAAGTGGGTACTAATTGTGCAGAGGGAAGCACAAGTCCCTCTCAAGAGTCATGTTGTAGAGTGATCTCCAAGCAGGAAAGTCAATCTCAGGATGCCTCACTTGGTAAGGGATGGCCGCTCTACCTAGTTGGAGGCTTTCTAGAGAAATCCCGTTTTTTCTAAATTCTCTCTATCCTCCTGTCTTGTCATGGGACTTACTAGAAGGTGACCCAGAAAGATATAAACTTCAAGGCTGTCAGGGGAAAAATCCAGATCATTAGCAAAGCTGCACTTGTAAAATTGAAAAGACAGCACACCACAAAAGTCTCACTTCAGGAGTCAGAGTTTTATTGAGTTTTAGAACATAGCAAACACAAGGCACTTATATTGCCGTGAGGGTTAATTGGACAAGCAATCAAAGCGGACGGCTTGAGGCCAATTGGCCCCCACCCACTGTCCAACATTACATTATACCTTAAAACTGCAAACACATGATTTTCCAGAGCTTGCCATGCTGTCATAGCAACCGGGGCAGTTTTCCCATTCGCTCAACCTGAACATTGCAATATTGTTCTTTTAGCAGGTACAGCTAGCACATAGTTCCCCATTTTCCACAGCCCCAGTTCCTCTTACCTGATAGAACAGGGGTGTCAAACTCAATTTCATTGAGGGCCGCATCAAGGTTGACCTTGGGAGGCTGGGGTGGGCATGGCCACCTCGATGTCACTTTTGTTGGGGGTGCCTGTGTTGGCCCAAGCACTCTGCCAGTGAAAACGGGCTCCCGAGCTGTGTTTTTGGCCACGACAGCCTCCTGTAACCCTGTGCCAGTGAAAATGGAGCTCAGGAGGGCTCCACATTGCCCTCATGAGCTCTGTTTTTGGCCACAACAGCCTCCTGCAACCCTCTGCCAGCAAAAATAGAGCTCAGGAAGGTCACAGATAACAGATAATCAGAGTTGGAAGGAACCTTATAGGTCATCTAGTCCAACCCCCTGCCCAAGCAGGAGACCCTACACCATTTCTGACAAATGGCAGTCCAATCTCTTCTTGAAAGTCTCAAGTGATGGCGCTCCTACAACTTCCGAAGGCAAGCTGTTCCATTGGTTGATTGTTCTCACTGTCAGAAAGTTTCTCCTTATTTTCAGGTTGAATCTCTCCTTGTTCAATTTCCATCCATTATTATTTGTCTGGCCTACGGGTGCTTTAGAAAATAGCTTGACCCCTTCCTCCCTGTGGCAGCCCTTCAAATATTGGAAGACTGCTGTCATGTCTCCCCTGGTCCTTCTCTTCCCTAGATTAGCAATGCCCAGTTCCTGTAACCGTTCTTCATATGTTTTAGTCTCCAGTCCCCTCATCATCCTGGTTGCTCTTCTCTGTACTTTTTCTAGAGCCTCAACATCATTTTTATAGTGTGGTGAACAAAACTGGATGCAGTATTCTAGGTGTGGTCTTACTAAGGCTTTATAGAGTGGTATTAGTACTTCCCTTGATCTTGATTGTATCCCTCTGTTAATGCAATTTAGGATTGCATTAGCTTTGCCATTTAGGATTGCATTAACCATGTGCTCCATTTTCACACGGACTGGTCCTTCCCCGTTTCCAGGTCAGCCCTGTGGGCCAGATCTAAGCATCCTGTGGGCTGGATCCGGCCCCCGGGCCTTGAGTTTGATACTCCTGTGATGGAAGAAGAAACTGAGCGTATAGGAAACAGGAACCACACGTTAAGACATACATGCAGAGCACAATTTCAACAAACAATATTGATTTTACTTCTGGCCCTTACAGTTATGTATCCATTAAAAGCTACTCCTTGCATCTAATCGCCTTTATCCATCTTCAAAAATGACCCCAAACTTAGCCTTAGAGAGGCAGACCATAAAACTCTGGTCAGAGTTTATAAAAATATGTGCATTCATACAAACCCCAGTCAAAAGAGCCCTTCAGGCCAACAACCTTCTATCAGAGGCTCAGGTCCTTATTTTCTTCTCACAGGCTTAAGTCCATCAAAATATATCCCTCACCATTCCACATACTGCCCTTTAGTGACCTCTGTTTGCAGAAAACTGATTCTTTGGTGGGGGGGGCGGTATGTGTGTGCGTGTGTCCCCCTGAATTGCATTCTGACTACATCATCCTGAGGTACTTCTCTTTGTTTTCAGTGATTCAGACAGAAGCAACTTGATTTCAGCCTTCCTTGATACATAATTTCAGATAAATTCTGACACATATTTCTATTGGGCCATCTCCGACAACATCTGTCCTTGCGGGCATGTTTCTAGGGGTGCCAGAATTTCATCATCCACACAGAACAGGATTGTTTCAGGCTGTTGAGGGTGGGGGAGCATCTACCACTGAGTGAATGCTTTGGTTGTCAAAAGTATACCTCTTTGTCTTGTTGGTGACCAAAAGCTTAGGAGACGGAGCCAGTTGGGTTTGTTCCTCCGTACATGCTGTGGTTGTGGTCTTCTGCTCTTTACTCTTGGCTCTCAAGATGGAGCCCATTAAAGGCAAATGAAAGGTATAGGGCAGGATGCAGGACAGGAAGTCTTTAAGCTAGGAAAAAATGGAGTTAATTCCTCTTTCAGCTTCCATCCTGCCTGTCTCCTTCGCAGGGAAAAAAATGGCATCGCTGTTATTCATTCGATCACCTCCTGGTGCTGGTGGAACTGAAAGAGCAGCTGCGCTTTTAACTCAGGTAAGAAGGAAAAGGTTGGGGCTAATTTGGGGACGCAGTGGGAGACATCCAGTTTCATGTGGAGTCTCAACATATGATACTGCTGTTCATGACCAACCCAGGATAGGTAATTTAGAACGCTCACATTCCACCTGCCTCCCAAGATTGTTTTGGAAATGTATTTAATACTGATGGACTCAAATGCCACCTGGCAGTTCATGCAATAAAATGTAAAAAACAACAACAACCTAACAGACATAATGACAATCTCCTCTGGAACAGTGCCACCTTGGATCATTTTTGGAAGGTCAGTAAGAAGCTGCCAGCCTAATTTGCCGAAATGCAGTGGAATAAAAGATCTACAGTAAGAGTTATTCCTTCTTTTTAAGATCAGAGTTTTCTCTTCTGGGCATTAAGGAGGTTGACAAAAATGAGTAAAGACTGAAGATAGTCATGACTCCAGCTTGGCTTCTAAAAAACTGAATCCATGCTAGTGTTTGATTGTAATATATAAATGGTTTTACATTGGTCTCTTCTCAGATTTTTCAACTTAAGGGTGTTAAAGTTCCTCGTTCTGTGAGTAACCGGGACTGAACCTGAGAAGATCAGCTGTGGAAACCTGAACTTGCCACTTGCTCAAGCCCAATTTACAATAATTAATAACATGAAATCAGGAATGCAATTAATACGCATATAACAGCTTTGATCATCTTCAGGGAGAGTCTGCCATCCTATATGGCCTATATGGAGAAGATGAGATGTGTAACCACTCCTTGAGTGATCAAGGGATAGTTTTATCACATGGCATGTTGAGTCCAGCTGAGGAAATATCCAATTAAGAATTACAGCTGTATGTGTTTTTGGGATATGCAGATTAAATTAGATCTTGCAGATTGAGTCTGTTCACAGGAATCCTTCCTCCTTCAGGATCCTGTATCCTTTGAGGAGGTGGCCATTCATTTCACCAGCGAAGAATGGTCACTGCTGGATCTCGGCCAGAAAGCCTTGCACCAAGAAGTCATGTTGGAGACATGTAGGATCATGGCCTCTTTAGGTAAGCGTCTATCTATCTATCTATCTATCTATCTATCTATCTATCTATCTATCTATCTTGGATCTGTGCAGGTCTTATTAAAATTATTTCATCTCTTTTATATTAATTGCAGTCCAACTCTCTGAATTTCTAAGCACCATAATTTCAGTTCAGGAATCAGTGGTGACCAGTCAGACTGGACATGCAATCTTGGAATTTTCTTTGGGCCCTATGTCAATACTACAAAAATGGTGGGAAGATAGGGATATTTTTGCTTATTTCAGTTGTCCTAACTAGCACCATATTTTCTCTTGCGATGATATTGAGATTACATCTACGTTGTCTCATTGGAAGCATCATATGTGCATCACATATATTGCTCAAATAATTGCAGATGCGATATGAAGATCAGGGCAGCAGAATATTGTATTGGTTGTTTTTGTTTTTATTTTGTATTCATTAAAAAAATCTTGTTAAGCACCCAGAATGACACGAGGTAAGCAACTATGCTAGTCTTTTAAACTAAGAAAAAAAATATTCATGGAGTCATTTCCCCTGTGCTTCATCTGCAGCTGCCCAGGAATAGATATGGGACATATCATGGGGATAGCAAACTCTGTGTTATATATTTTTCTGATGTATTTTTCTCCTCAAGCAGATGATGAGCCGAAAAATGAAAATGACCAAGAGCCAAATGTGTTGCCATCACAAATAATACTGGAATCTGCAAAGAAGTCAGGAAGGAAGAGATGTGAGAAAAACCAATCTTGTAATTGGAGAGAAGAGCTGAGTTCTGAATGCGCCAAAAAAGATCTTTTCCTGATTCAATGTGATTTCAAAGAAATCAATACAGAAAAATGTCACAGAAGTGGGGAAACAGCTCAAGCAAAACGCAGTTTCAGTAACAACTACACACCTGGAAAGAGCCTCAGCAATAATAGTAACATTATTTCTGATAAAATGGTCCATGCAAGAGAGAAGCCCTATAAATGCATGGACTGTGGAAAAAGCTTTAGGTGGATAAATAATCTAACTGCACATAAAAGGATCCATTCAGGAGAAAAGCCCTTTAAATGCCTGGAATGTGAAAAAAGCTTCCGTATGAAGAGTTCCCTTATTCTTCATAAAAGGATCCATATGGGAGAGAAGCCCTATAAATGTGTAGAGTGTGAGAAGAACTTCAACACAAGCAGTGAGCTCACTTCCCATAAAAGGGTCCACACAAGAGAGAAACCCTATAAATGCCTGAAGTGTGGAAAGTGCTTCAGACATAATGGTTCTCTTACTTCCCATAACAGGATTCATTCCGGGGAAAAACCCTATAAGTGTATTGAGTGTGGAAAAAGCTTCAGTATGAACAGCTCATTTACTTTTCATAAAAGGATCCATACGGGAGAGAAACCCTTTACATGCGTGGAGTGTGGAAAGAGCTTTAGCACAAATAGTGCGCTTTCTTCCCATAATAGAGTGCATACAGGAGAGAAGCCCTTCAAATGCACCAATTGTGGAAAAAGCTTCAGCCATAGAGGTTCTCTTACTTCCCATAAAAGGCGGCATTCAGGGGAAAAACCATATGAATGCAAGGTCTGTGGGAAAAGCTTTACTACGAACAGTTCCTTTATACTGCATAAAAGGATCCATACAGGAGAGAAACCATATAAATGCCTAGAATGTGGAAAGAGCTTCAGTCACAGCAGGTCCCTTACTTCCCATAAAAGAGTCCATACTGGAGAGAAACCGTATAAATGTACGGACTGTGGAAAGAGCTTTAGCAATAGCAATCACTTGACTACCCATAAAAGGATTCATTCAGGGGAAAAACCCTATAAATGCATGGACTGTGGAAAAAGCTTTAGTATGAACAGTTCATTTACTTTTCATAAAAGGATCCATACAGGAGAGAAACCATATAAATGCCTAGAATGTGGAAAGAGCTTCAGTCACAGCGGGTCCCTTACTTCACACAAAAGGATCCATACAGGAGAGAGACCCTATGAGTGTAAGGACTGTGGAAAGAACTTTAGCAACAGTAGTTACTTAACCTCCCATACAAGGATCCACTCCGGGTTTAAGCCATATATATGCAGGGAATGTGGGAAGAGTTTTATTTCAAGCAGCTCCCTTGCTAATCACATTAGTATTCACACAGGAGAGAAACTGTATCAATGTACAGAGTGTGGGAAGAGTTTCAGGTTGAAAGTTCACTTAACTTCCCATAAAAGGGTCCACACAGTGGAGAAACCCTATGAATGCATAGTGTGTGGAAAGTGCTTCAGTCATAGTGGTTCACTTGCTTCCCATAACAGGATCCACACAGGGGAGAAAAAATATGCATGCACGATGTGTGGAAAGAACTTCAGGTGGAGGAATCAACTTACTTCCCATAAAAGGATGCATACAGGGGAAAAACCCTATAAGTGCATAGAGTGTGGGAAAAGCTTCAGTATGAACAGTTCGCTTATGTCTCACAAAAGGGTCCATACCGGAGAGAAACCTTACCAATGTATAGAATGTGGGGAAAACTTTAGCACAAACAATGACCTTACTTCTCATAAAAGGGTTCACACAGGAGAGAAACCCTTTCAATGTACAGAATGTGGAAAGGGCTTCAGTATGAATAGTTCTCTTACTTGTCATAAGAGGATCCATACCGGAGAGAAAAAATATGTATGCATGGTGTGTGGAAAGAATTTCATGTGGAGGAATCAACTTACTTCCCATAAAACAATGCATACAGGGGAAAAACCCTATAAATGCAAGGAGTGCGGGAAAACCTTCAGTGTGAACAGTTCCCTTACGTCTCATAAGAGGATCCACACTGGAGAGAAACCCTATAAATGCATAGTGTGCGAGAAGAACTTCAGCACAAGCAGTGATCTTTCTTCCCATAAAAGGATCCACACAGGAGAGAAACCCTTTAAATGCTTGGAGTGTGGAAAGTGTTTTAGTGTGAATAGTTCCCTTACTTCACATAAGAGGATCCATACAGGGGAGAAACCCTTTCAATGCACAGAATGTGGAAAGAGGTTCAGTATGAATAGCTCCCTTACTTCTCATAAACGAATCCATACTGGAGAAAAACCATATTCATGCCTAGAGTGTGGGAAGAACTTCAGTACAAGTTGTAATCTCCGTTCCCATAAAAGAATCCACAAAAGAAGCCCATAAAAGAATCCACAAGCAATCCATAACATTGCTGTGAATGTGGAAATTCTTTTTGTGAAAACTGTTCTCTTAGCCAGCAACTTACACCACATGTTCAGAGAGTTCAAAATTACAACAGCAGTGAATGATGGGTCTTACAAGTCCCGCCTGACATTACAGCTGCTGCAGAACTTCTGGGTTCCTGTGAACAAAATTCAGACTGTTGGCAATTCACCTGTCCTTACAATCAACAGTGGTTCTACTGTGGTAGCACACGTGCTATCTTTCCTCAATGCTGCCTCGCTGAGTCCCCACCCTCCTCATTCCCCATCAAAGCTCAGTCCACTTACCTTTTCTGTAGTCCACAAAGCAGCCTCAATTAGTGACTGATCCCTCCACATGGAGGTTGCATAGGTCCATCTCTGAAGAAGGCTTAAGACCTGCAGGAACCCTGTTGATTGAGAAATGGAGTATTGGGTTCCTTGGGATGGGAGAGAAGCAGGACAGGACATGTGTGAGCTAGGGAGGTTCTGCAGCATGGGCCTAGGTATGCTCTAGTTCAGGAGTCACCAACATTTTGGACCTCAGGGACCACCAATTTTAAATCCCGTGGACCACTAATATGAATTTTGACTGACGGTGGCTTGCTGACATTGGTGGGAGAGAGAGAGAGAGAGATTGATCCAATCTAACCTCGGAGGACTGGCGGTGATGTTCTCTCTCTCTCTCTCTCTCTCTCTCTCTCTCTCACACACACACACACACACACACACAGAGGTCCCTCACACACCAGGCAAGGGGCGTGGGGCAAGTTCCCCCCTCCACTTTTTCCCCTCTTCCCTCACTACCTCATGTTGTTCGCAATGCAAGCAACGCAAGCCTTGTGTTCCCGCGCAGCCTGGAGTAATTGCTTTGGGGATGACATTTCTCTGCGGACCACCAAAATTTTCTCGCAGCCCAGCAGTGGTCCGCAGCCCACCAGTTGGTGACCATTGCTCTAGTACTCCCAAGACCACTACATCTGAGACACCCTATGCTCCACTTAACAATTGCATTGTGGAGAGGATTGGTTTCATTAAGCAAGGTGATCGTGTGAGTGCCTTAATTAATGTCCATTGCAACTTGCAACTATAATTGCAGGCTTCGTTACAGTCATAAATTGTGGATTACCTATACTTCTCATAAAAGGATTCATAAGGAAAAAATGCATGAACAGTGTGTGGAAAGGACTTTGGGTGGATCATCAGCTTCCATAAAAGGATCCACATGGGGGAGATAACTTTAGGGACTGAGATATCCTTAATTCCTTTAAACGATCTACTGTAATATTAAATACTGTATATACACTAAAGGCAGAGCTTTGGTCAATTATTGCCAACTGATATGTACTAAAAGGTTTCATACAAGGGAAATACAATGTAAGCATGTAGTGTGGGAAGATCTTCAAGTGCTTTTTCTTTATGCCTTTGAAGTAGTTTTTTGACTCTTGGTGCTACTAGTCTCTGCAGATTTTGGGGCAAGATTTTTCCAGTGTTTTATCGTTGTTGCCATTGTAGGGCTGGGAGAAAGTGATAGGCCCAAAGTCATCCAACTGGATTCATGCCTAAAGGAAGACTCCTGGTTACTAGCTTGGTGCCTTAACCACTCCATCAAATTGGCTCTTTCAAGTGTAATAGAAATTTTATTTTCTACAAATGTTATTGGAGATATATGTGGGAGAAACATTAGAACACGTGGGAAAAGTTTGAGAGGCAACCATCCACTTGGAAAGGGGATCTATAAATGCAAAGAGGATGGGAAGAGAGTAAGCAAGATTGCTTAATTGCTATGGTAAGATTTATATGGGAGAAATCTAGAAATATAGGTCTGGGGAAAGAATTAAAGGGCAGCAATCTTAAGAACTTCAGTACAAGGAGCTTATTTCTTAGAAAAAGGTTCGCATAGGAAAGATAGAATAAATGCATGGAATACAAAGAGTCTGCTGACTCTTTCCCATAAAAGGATTCACACTTACGGATCTAGTACAGTGATGGTTAACCTTTTTGTCGTGTGCCGAAAGTGCGCATGTGCGTATGTGTGCCTGCACCCATAATGCAATGCGTGCGTGACCCACCCCTACCCCTATCCCATGTGCATGTGACCTGCACCATGTGCCTCTGTGCATGCACGTGTGACCCCCTGCACACCCCACCCCTGCACATGTGCCTGCATCTCCCATGCATGCGCCGCCTCCTGCACATGCGTGGCAGATACCCGACAATCAGCTGGCTGAGGGGGGGTGCACATGCGCAGTGGATCAATTCTGGGCGATGGCTCACGTGCTGGCAGAAATGGCTCTGCGTGCCACTTCCAGCATGTGTGTCATAGGTTCGCCATCACAGATCTAGTAAATACAAGGATCCTTTGAAAAGAGGATGTACAAACTCGGAGGATTGTCATAACATCGGAGAAATTGAACAATGTATAGATTATGGAAAAAGCTTCCAGGATAGATTTCTTAATGCCAGAAGTATTACCTAATTCTCTAGTCCCAAACCTTTTGGGTACCAGAGACTGGTTCCATGGAAAATAATGTTTGCATGGATGGGGGCATGGTTTCACATGTTACCTAGATCCCACACATGCGCAGATGAAGCTTCACTTGCACAGCCCGGTTCCTAAAGGACTGAAAACATGTCCGGTCCAGGGCCCAGAGGTTGGGGACCCCTGACCTAATCTGTTTGGTCTGGCTCATGAGAATTTTTTATTCAACTGTCCCAGTCATTATGCAAAAACTGCCTGGTCAAGCAGGTTTATTTAGGCTGAAGTAATATCTGAAACGAGTCTGGGATCAGTTCTAGGCTTTGTAGAGAGTTGTCATATGCAAGCAAAGCTGAGAAAAAAAAATGTATATGTGTGCATTTTTAGTTCTACTTGCTATAAATGTTGGGACTTAAACATTACCAAAGTACTGAAATTATTCTTTTTTCATATAATCTGATGTGCATAACTGTTGTTTAGCAGGAAAAAAAAATATCATCTGAATGTTTATATGTACATGCTTGTTTAGCTTCGATCTCTGGGTGCAAAACTGCATTAATCCTGCTGAAAGAAGTGTAGCCAGTGAATTAATGAGTGCCTCTTGATGCCTTTTTACTTTCAAAATGGTTTTTTTTTTAATCCAACAATATATGAGCATTAAAAAAAAAGGTTTGAGCAAGTTGTTTCTCTTTATGTCTTTATTTCCTACATAACCAGAACCATATTTTTTTGACCTTTTCCAGAAACGCCATTCAGCTCAAATAGAATTTTATGGATTTCTGTGTGTGTTAAAATTCCAAAACCACTGCAATTTCTCAACTGCCCTGATTACGCCAAATGATCATTCCCCTCCCCACTGCGCCAATTTACCTTTTAAGCTAGTTGGATAACATTAAAATTAATTAAACAAAGAAACAAAATTTTCAGGAGTTCAGTCCTCTTACGCCTACCCCTCCCCATATCATGGGAGTATCACGGGAGATTAAAATTCAGATACCCCGTTTTCCCCCCAACTTCAGTTCTCTGTGAAGCAATGTGGAATTATGTGGCAAAGGCAGAGGTGGGATTCAAATATTTTTTACTACCAGTTCTGTGGGTGTGGCTTGGTGGGTGTGGTGTGGCTTGGTGGGCATGGCAGGGGAAGGATACTGCAAAATCCCATTCCTTCCCCACTCCACTAACCTGCTTTCCAGCTCCGTTCTCCTGTGCAGGGCAACAAAAGAAAACCCTGCTGGGACTCGGGAGGCAGAGATAGATGGGGGTGGGGCCAGTCAGAGGTGGTATTTGCCAGTTCTCCTAACTACTCAAAATTTCCACTACTGGTTCTCCAGAACTGGTCAGAACCTGCTGAATACCACCTCTGGGCAAAGGGTCTTATTCCCAAATTCAGAGGCTTCCCAAAAGGGATCCAAGCTCAACTTTTCCCTGACCTTAAAAAAATAACACCACTCAAATTTGAGATTGAGAAGAAAAACCTGAAATTTCTGAAGAAACCAAAACACTTTTGTCATAGTTCGTTATATATTTTTTCTTGCATTTGTGGACTTCTGTCTGAAAATGCCTCACTTTCCCTCTTTCACTTTCGCTTTCTGTCTCTTTCCTCTTTTAATCCCACCGAATTTTGGGACCTCCAGATCCAAGTCTAATTCGGGGCCCAGAAGGTCCCACTTGCACCTAACCACTGGGGGGAGACAAGAGAGGAGCACGGGTTGGTCTGTGAGTTCGTTTACACCAGTGTTGCAGTGGGTGACGTTGCTGGGTTTACACAATTGCACAAGGACACAGTGAGGCTTGTGATATCTGGGTGGCTTCTACGTGACACCTCTTGGCTGAGGTCGATCTCTCTGAAGACCGCACTCCTCCTGTAAGGAACAAAGCATGAACATCTAGTATTATCCAACGTTTTGTGCAATCTTTTCTCAGTTCCTCAGTGACTTCTCACCAGCATAAAAGCCATCAGAGATGCCACTGTCTCAACCCCCACAAACAATAGCTTGTATGTTATGATTTATAATATATTGTTTACTTGATATCCTAGTATGATTTATGTTGATTATTTAGAATCCTGTGACTATCACTAAGAGTTGTATCTTATGACGAATGTATTTTTATGATGACTATGTTGGGAAAAGCAAAGCAGGAAAGCATTTAGGCAGGAAAAAAAAATCAAAGGTGTAAGTACAGATTAGGTGAGCCCTGGCTCAAAAACAGTCACTGTGAGAGGAATCCTAGCGGACGATCACTTGACTATGAGCCAGCAGTGTGCAGCCGCCACCAAAAAAGCTAATACAATCCTGGGTTGTGTAAACAGAGGCATAGAATGAAGATCAATTTTGGTCACCGTACTACAAAAAAAAAAAAAATGTGGAGACTTTGGAAAAAGTTCAGAGACAAGCAACTAAGATGATCAAAGGTCTGGAGACTAAACCATATGAAGAACAGTTGCAGGATTTGGGTCATCTGGCTAGGCTAAAGAAAAGAATTAGGAGTGACATG